TTTGTTGCAATCTGAAGCTCTGCAACTGTGAAAGCTTTTACACCGACCAATGTTTTAGTCTTGGCGAAGCTTTTTCTCCTGGACACTTTAAGTGTTTTAGTGCGAACGGGATGCAGCCGGGAGGGTGTGATCATGGGAGAAGAACTGAAACCCGACACGTGGGGGCTGCTATGTGTGCTCATTGACCTAAACTCTACTCCTGTGTAATGGTGAAGACAAATATACATAAGATCACAATTTTTTTTTTTTCACTGAATAACCGAAACATGTCTACGTAAAGAAAGTTGCAACATCTCACCATGCACTGTCTCGATAGGTAGAGATCTCAGTGAATCCTCTTCGCTGCCCACCATGCTTCTCGATATTTTCTTACATACCCTCTTCTTGTGAAATGTTACAGCAAGAGCCCCAAATGCCACAACCAGAGTTACTCCACCAATCAACAGAAGAACTATCCCCACTACATGGATTTTCATGTTCTTGTGATCTTCGGTTTTCTGAGATGGATGGTTTTCTGAAGCGCTCAAGTTTGTATCTGGTTGGCTGCTGATATTTTTTTCTGTCGGCATCAGGTCGGAGGGGAAACTCCATGGCGTGTAGTTTGGTCCCGTGTGAAACGTATTTCCTCCAATCCTGGAGAGAGATAATTTTCTGCCTTTAGATTTTAAGTGATTTATCATACGTATTCTATTTACATATAAAGGTAAACCGGAAATTTGTAACCGAGAAATCTTTATAAAAAAAATTAATTATATGCAGTTCATAGATGATGTTCACTTTTTTCGTCAAGTTTTTATGAAAAAAACAGACATGGACTTGAATGCATACCACAAGTGTTCTATTGTTTGGAAGTGTTCCGGAATAACTCCACTAAAATGGTTGTCTTCGATATTCCTGCAAAATGGACGATCGGGTGAGCGCATGAATGGCTGATATATTTGGCAACAGGATCTTAGAAGTTTTTATTGGTCACATACAAGTAAGAGAGTGAGAGATTGGCAAGGAAAATCACTGATCCAGTAAAGTGATTATTCTGCAAAAACCTAAGAAATTAACTTCTTATCAGTTGCTTCTGCGTTTGTATAGCAGATACATATAATGAGGATTATTCAGAGGAACTGAAGAATTAACTCACAGTTGTGTTAGGTTTGTCAAAGATTCAAAGGAAGTTGGAAGATCACCTGAGAAGTTATTGAACGACAAATCCCTGACGACAAAGAAATTGCATTTGTAAACTATAATTTCGTAACCTCTATATTCACATTTGTATCTACTCATAACAAAACTGGAAATGCCATACATTAGTTTCAAATCCTGAAGGCCATTAAACACATCGCCCAAGGGCCCAGCTAATAAGTTGTGGCTCAGGTTCCTGCAATGAGAACAATATGCATGGCTTAGAATAAAGAAGAATAAAGTAAAATACAGCTGATTAATGGGAGTGTCCTAATTTTAGGATCATGAAAATAAATAACTCGTGAAAGAAAGTCATATTCGTACAGATGCTGGAGAATTTTCATCTTGTCCAACGAGTATGGAAAGCTTTGGCTGAACTTGTTCTCAGCTAAGTTTCTGTATGGATTGAAATGTTTAGAGTAAAACCATGGTGTTGTTTGCATTAGTTGCTAAAATCATCGAAGCTAAGTGAGTATCATCTTACAGATTTGTGAGATTAGGAGGTAAACTGTAAGGGATTGAGCCCTCAATGTTATTTGCACTAAGGTCCCTAATAAAAAGAAGGAAAGTTTACACAACTTTAAATGGTTACAGGGGACAAGAACACGAATATAACTAGTGCGATGGTCGCAAAATCAACCGCTGACTAATTACTACATACCCCCATTTATCTCTCAGAGTTGCAAATACTTGAGGAGATACATAACTTTTAAAAATAACTGGGGCTATTTAGTTATTAGGCTAGAGTTTTTGAGGAATTATTTCTCAAATTTCTTACAGATTCTTCAGGCTGATTAGATTGGAAAGCTGAACTTCAAGATTTCCGGTGAGTCCCAGCCCATGAAGGTTCCTGAAAATGGAACAAATAAAACATCTAATCATAAATATTAACCTGAGGTTTAGCCTAAGTGCAAAAACTCCATATATCCTCAAAAGATACAAATGCCCTCTTAAAATGTACTTTTGAGAAATGTCTGGTTTTTTCTGCAATAAAGCTAAAACCTCAGGATTAAACTTTGCTAATATTCCTGTGGATAATGAAGCTGTACATACATGTGGGTTATGGATGAGCCGGAGCACTCAATTCCTAACCAAGTTTCTCCACAAGGGTCCCCACCCTCTGACTTCCAATGCTCAAGTTTAGTAGGTCTGTTTAAGGATCGGTACATATCTTGAAGAGCTTGAACTGCATAATATGCAAGTAAAGTATTACAGATTAGAGTTATAAAGTGTTGCTCCTATTTTCAAACATAACCGGCTTCAACTTAAAAGAAATAAACACATACTAAGACTCATAGTATCATATCGGAGTATCATAATGAAACGAAATGAAGATAAATTAACCTTCTAATCCATCGGTGATTGCCCAAGATCGGAGTGCCACAACCGTGCAGTAAAAAGACGCAATCAGAAAGCACAACTGCTTATTAGCCATTTTTGTATCTTTGTCTCACTCAAGAAACAGCTAAGAATCGTACAGCTCCGAAGTTTCTAATTTCCAGTAAAAAAAAAATAAAAAAAAAAAACCAGCCAAAAAGGAAAACTATTAGCATCAGAAATAAGCCAACTCAAAAAAGGTTGAATTCACTGTCAACAGAGCTCGATATCACTCAATAAAGCTTCGTACAACTGAAGATGTGAAAATCAAGAGAAGTATTTCCCAATTTTGTTATGCTTCAAGCTTCAATCACAATCAAAAATAACTAAATTACACAAACGAGCTGCCGCAAAACATCACACTATTCTGTATGCGAGTGCGTGATTTTGTGTGTGCAAACGATTTCAAGCATACATTCATGGCTGCGTACGTAACCAAATACTACCGAGAAGCAAAAGAAGAAAACAGAGAGTAACGCGAAATGTTTGCTGCTTGGAAATCTAAGAACGTAACTCAAAAACGCGATATGATGAACAATTTCACCATTTCTTGCACAAAACACACACACACAACACGAACAGAAAGTGCATCGAACAAAGAAATTCTGCAAAAAAATTCAGGAAAAAAATGCTAAAAATGGAGAAAAAAATCTCGTTTCAAATTCGAGGCTACGTACAAGTGCATGAGGTATAGTCCGAAGAAAAGTACAGTCGCGATTTCATGGATGATAATGGAGTAATTTTGTTTTAGGTTACCTCTTTAGAGAGAGAAAGGGGAGTTTGGTTGAGCAGAGTACGAAGCAGCAGCAGCAGCAACTGAGAGGAGTGAAGAAGAAAAGCCAGCTGCAAAACGGTTATATGGTTACAGGCGCGTGCGCTCTACGTGCGAATCACAGTCGAGTTATAATCTGCTGCGGCTGCTACCGGGTGGAGTACTGTACGCAGCAGGTGTACGTACGCTTTTACAGATTTGCCACGGTTAGATATTCTACAAAATACAAATAGCCCTTTAAGATTTAAACTAGTGTCGTGGCCCGTGCAAATGCACGGAACTATTAAAAATAAATAAAATAAAGAAAATAAATAGAATAAATAATTTTTATATGCAATTAAAATAGACTACTATATACAATATTTATATTTGTATATTTTATTTCGTATTATATATCAGTATTTGTGTCTTTTTATTTGTAACTCGAGAAGCAACAATGTAAAGTTCAGAATTAAAAGCCTAAAAGTAGATTTCTATATATATATATATATATATATATATATATATATATATACTTTAGTTTTTTTATTAATAGAACAAATTGACATAGTATTAACGAATTTTTTTATATAGTTTTTTTATTTATTTTTATATAGTTTTCCATGAATTTAACGAATTTCTTTCTAAAACCGTTATTTTTTTTTAATGAAATCTAACGATGTGGATTCAAAATTTATTGATAAACGAAAAGTTGAGTAACTAAATTGATTAATTGGAATATCATGTACTAAATACGCAAATATATAGTTGGGGTATAAGAAAATTCTCAAATTATTTTATTATCTTAACACATTTTATTACAGTTTGTTTGAATATATCATGTAATTTAGATCATATTTTGACACTTGAATATATTATTTCTTACTTGTCTGGTTTTATAATTTATAATGTAATCTTATTTATTAACTATTATTTTCTATACATATACTTACAATTTATTTATTTGTGAACCATTCTTTTATTTTAATAAGTACCATATTTTATCTAATATCTTCATATTTTTATGAAGGCTTTAAATACAAATTATTATTTAACATACATCATAAATAATTCACCATGATTCAACATATCATGTACATGTAAAAAGAAATTTACTTTTATATTAATGAAATATAAAAGAGACAAAACATTTTAAAATGCCTATCTATAAATGGTAATAACAAATTTAGGTCTACTTTTACTATTAACCTATTATTAAAAAAGAAAAAATAAATTAATTAACGGAGGTTGAAGCACCTTTAATAAAAAAATAAAAAATTTGAACTAACTTTACATAAATAGTAATATAATGAGGGACACACTAAAACACTTACTATTTTTAATAAATGGGTTGCCTAATTATATAGTAATAGA